AAATACACGAAAATATTTAGGCTTATATTCAGGATAAAATTCTCTAAATTTCAAAATATTAATTTTCATAGTATAATGTAATAGTGCTCTCACCCATAGATAAATTTTGGAGTATTGAGAAAACTTGCACATTTCTTCCTAATGAGTCAAAAATTTCTTGCACAATTTCAGTAGAAAAATAAAAAGTTAAACTTCTCAATAAATAATTTAAATAATAAATTAATTATGAAATTTATCGCTTTGTAATGTTTCAGATTATGTATGTATTCGCTCCGTACTGAATAAACTGGAAATTGAACCATTTTATAACACTATTTTCTAAACATGCTAAATCGAGAGCCTTTATAATTAAATAGTGATTGGGGAAATTACCACATTCATTTTTTTGAAAAGATGAAGAATATTTAGAAATGAATGATGGACCTTTGTTTAATGAATAGTTGAATGAATTATAATTCCAAAGAATAAGGATTGATATTTTATACCAATGTCGGCTCACAAGTGAGCACGAATATAAGGAATAAAATTCATTATTTAAATTATTAAGAATTTTTTTCCATTATTTTTATGCCATGAAATTGGTTTTTTAAAAAAAAATAGTCTATTAATAAAACTGGTTACTTCATGTTGACGACAGAGATCAACAGATTGAAAAGATATTATGCCGGAAACAATCCGATTAATTTCATTAATTCTACGTACGTACATACGTACGTACGTAATTGAGCATACAGGCGATTTAATACCGTTCATCAATTAATTTCAGGTCAAGAACACTACTAAGATTTATAATAATGTTATACTATTGGTTATTTAAAATCGGTTGCGTTATTGATGGCTAATGGTTAGAAAATCAATAGGTTGATCTACATACTGCATAACTGACAACTTATATTCTTGATAACTATCAAAAAAAATAATCCTAAACTCATCAATAAAGTAATTTTGGTTAACTTTGTATTAGCCAACCTCTAGATACAGGTACAAAATAATCAAATTTCAGATGATCACCTCTAAAAACAGAAATTCATTGAAAACTTTATTTACCCATTCTTTTCGTAGTACTGAATCCAGAATTGTGATTTCAGGGATTTTCATTGCTTAAACAATGAAAATCCCTGAAATCGCATTGTTATATTCATTCATTATCGTTATCAAAAATTTGCAGAGATTAAATAATACTAAAGAATTTCGAGTTAAAAATGAATAAGCGTAAATGATAAATCTAAAATCAGTTAAGATTCTATTAAATGAAAATATTTTATTTTTCCGTCATTATAAATATATATTTACCACTTCTTTTTTCTTTTTTTCTTTTTTTTTAATCGATACGTATAAATAGGTTTAGAAAATTATATTTCATAGCAAAAAAAGAAGTGAAAAACAAGAATAAAAAATAAGAAACTAAAAAGCGATTACCTTAATGATTACTTTGAACATAATTTGTTCCAATTGTTGTTGGAACTGGCATTTATATTTGATGGCGGCAACAAGTCAACAAGGTCAATTTATTCCAACTATCCTATATTTGATTGAAGGAAATTGGAATTTACGGTTTGTTCATTATTGATTATAAAAATTTAATAGTTTGTTTTAATTATTTGCCTTTTTTTTTTTTTTTTTTACTAAAGCGTAAAATGTTTTTCACAGCTCCTGTTATATTACGGAAAGATATTAATAATAATTAGCAACCAACAACGTTGTTGGATTTTTACATAACAGGCAAATTTTTTCGATGTACTCTCACCTTTATTGCAAATTTTTAAAATTTAAGACTAAAAAATTCAATATTTCATTATTGTTTTTTTTTCTAATTTTTTTGGAAAGAAGTTTTTTACGATTTTTATATCCTTTAAATTTTTTTTAAGAATAGGACTTTCTCTAATAATCTTAATAAACTAAACATGTGTTCAATTTTTATATCAACAAATATCTTGTATTTTAAAATAAGTTTATTAATTTTTGTTTCGTTTATATATTTGATTTTCTACAGCACTATTAAAGTGTTAGCACTGATTTAAGCAAAAATTAATTTACTTAGTCTACATCAAAAATAATCAGATCATAGTGAATAAGATAGGTATGCGAAGGGTCAAATATCACTATATAAACTTTTATATTAATAAACTAGATAAGCTGCGGGCCTCATCACAAATTTTTTACTCGTGCTTTGCTATTGAAAACTATATATTTTAATTGATAATGTCGAACGTCAGAATGGAATTATTGTAATTGTAGATTTAGAATCCACCTAGGTTAGTGGTGTGTGATCCGGATAATACGGATTAGTTAATTACGTAAACTATTCAAATCCGAATAATTCGGATTACACAACATCGAATACGTACGTACGTACGTACGTATCCGTATATACGGATTTAACTATACAACTGGTAATCCATATCGATATCGATATAGTATGCATAGTTAACCATAGTTCGTATAGTTTTGATAGTTCGAGTAATCTGCTATTTCCATATCATCGAACGGATGATATCAATCTACATAACTTAAATTCAATCATTTGCGTAGATTCAATAGTTTATCTGAGGCATAGCTAAGTACTGTACATGCAACGCAACCGAATACGTGTTCAATGTCTTACCGAATTGCCAAAACATTCCATTTGCGGCCCTGCCCTACCCTCCCATAGAATCATGTCTTATGGAATCTACTATTTGAAAAAAAGAAATCCAGCACATCAAGTGGGAATGGTGCCATTTTCGTAGCATCTGCTTATTTCATTTGTCGGCCGGCTTACGCAGGTGGGAAATCACAGACCTATGCTATGCTACACCGCTTCTGCTGCTTATGGGATACCCAGCGCAATCTTAATTGACATTTTCCGGGTGCATATCTGGTTCAATTTATTTGTACATCAATTGCAACTGATGTATGAATTCTTTTAAATAAAATTGATTTCCAGTACATCACGCAGGACTCATTCCAACATATATCACATACAATGCTTTTCGTTTAATGAAAATTATCGATTTGGTTAGCTATGAAAATCCAGGGTAAAGTTTGCAGATCGATTACGATTAACTTTTACTGTAATGGCCTTTGAAAAGAGGATTTTTTGTGATTGATTTAGCTGTATGTTATCGAGAGTAATATTCTTTGTATTGGTGATTAATCACAATAATCATAGTCTAGAACAGTTATGGAATACAGTATAAATTCACATGACAAATAGTGCAGTGGTGTAGAAGGTTTGACAAAGGTTTATAAATTAGTAAAAAAATTTTATTTATATAACCATAATACATGTTAACACAAATCTTCGTAGGTAAAGGCAATTCAAATGATTCATTTGAAAAAATGGTTTGTCGTTAATAGCAATAAAAAAGCAAATATTTTCAAATAGAATACTAATCTAAAGAAATACAATATGAACCATATTCAGTAACAGCATTAAAGACTAATCTTGATCGTGGCTTTAAATATAAGCTTATTAAATTATTAATCAGTAGATCGATGTAAACTAAAATAAGAACTACATGAATCACCGAGAAACACTGTGTTTATCAAATAATCTGGGCGGCAAAAATCCGACCAGGAAATTAGATATAATCCATAAAACATTCGATTGGTTCAAAATATTAGATAATAAGATGGCAAATACAAATTTGGCAAAATCAACGTTTCATGATTTAAGATCTTTGTTCTATTGTGTTAATAATTAACGCACGACAAAGAATTCTGGTTCCTAACATCTACTCGAGAGTTGCATAATACAAAGACCTGCCATATTTGGGGCACTATTACTTTTTACATGAGCATAAATCCAACTGGTTACTTTGTTCTTTGTGATAGGCTATATGGCTTAAAGCCGATCAACTGATACTACTGTACTGCTATCCAGTATTGGACGATGATGCCATATAAATGACATGACTTATATATTAAAATATCATATGAAGTGTCATATATATGACATGATCTATATCATATTGCATATGATTCATATGATGTAAAAATATCATATGACATTATGATATTGTCATCGTCCAACACTGCTGTTATCTGCCAAAATTTGGTAATATAAAAAATTATTTATTAAATCCTACTATCAATATTATTTTTACTTGTTAACAGATTTAATTTTTCATGTTTTATTATGTTTATCATAAGTACTAAAGTATTGTGTATATAGATCAATAAAGACTTCATTATATTACTGTGCGTTTAAGATTAAGGCATGTTTTTGTTGTTATTTTTTTGTTAGTGAACTTACGTTATCCTAACAATTTATTTATATTATAAGAGGAGCTGACTATGTGCGAGTAAATAATTCCTTTAACTATGTAAATGTATCTGGAAAGATGACACAATAGTGCTGCGCATTACCTAATTTGGCATTTTGATTGTACATTACCTAATTTGACACCTTGATTGTGTTAAAGCTAGCCTGTTTGCAATATGTATGACGAGTAGGGTTCTAGAAAAATTTCTTTATAATTAATTGGAACATAAAAGTTGTAGGTCCCGTAAAAATTTTGATTTTATTTGAAAATTTACCAATTTTCCGGGTTCACGGCGTAGTATTAATTACTTCTTGCTAATATTATAAATCTGCAATTATACATATATATTTTCATTATACCTGCTATCATTCAATTCACGCATTTTAGATAGTTAAAGCAACGTTTTACTCTTCTAATCGACATTTGAAACTACAATTTCTAAAGTTGGAGAATTGCTAAAATAACGATAAGCAAACAAAAAAAATATAAAATAGTAACGCATGAATCGTTACATGGCATAAAAAACTTATGATTACAACATAAAAAGTTACGGCAAAATCCACAGTTGGGTCTTGATTAATGACATAATTACGCCTGCATCACTAATCGGGAGCTTATATAATAATAATTATAATAATAAAACCACGATGTGTATAGAATTACATATAAGATAGTTCATACGTACATATCCTTGATTTATAAAAGAAGGATCTCTGCTGTGAACCCGAAAATAACAAAACTTGTAATAATAAAATGGAAAAAGAAAGCAAAAATGCTGTTACCCAAATACCAAGCTATTATCCAAAATTTGTAGATGAGTTGACTAAATTCAGAAGGTTATGGTGGGACCAGGGTAATTTGCATCTGAAGGCAAATTGGGAAAGTGCTTCGTAAGTTATTTTTCATGTTTGTTTAATAATGAGTTCATATAATAATTTAGTTATTAATACCATTATCTGTTATATGCAAAAGACTACCCTATGAATTGATATCTGATGTTAGTTTTGAAAAGTTTGCTGAACGAACTGACAAGCATAATGTGCATGGTTTGTGGGAATGGGATCAAGGAAAAGTTGTTGTGTATGAGCCTCCACTTGCACCTCATGAATCTGCTTCGCACAGTATCGCTTTTTTACTGCAAACTGCCTTAAATGATGCATGGAATACTGACTATGATGTTTCGCACTTAGGATAATTGAGTATATATATATATTTTTGCCTTTGAATATCTCAATATACTTTTATATTTATCATTTATTGCTCAAAAGCAACGAAAGCAGGAGGATCAAGCAGAGAACCAGATAGATGTTTACGACCTATAAAAAAACAACAAGTGGTTTCTCCTGATGGGTGTGATGGGCAGGTATGGTTTTTAAAATTTTCTTTCTAATCACTCTTTAAATTTATAACATTATTGTTATTTTTCTTAGAATATGCCTTGGCCAACTTTGGTAGTTAAAATAGCATATTCAGAAACTGTTGATCATCTCTTTAACAAAATAAAAAATTATTGGCTTCAGTCTAACAGAGTGCATGATGCTATCGCTATAAAACTAGAGCCTCCCAAAGCATCAAAGAAGAAGATTCCTTCACGAATGACTGTAAATAATTTATTAAGATTTTAATTCCTTTATAATTATCTCATCATGGTTTTTTATTTCTTATAGTCGTGGCATTTTTGTGTAGATCGAAAAGTTGGAGGAGAACTAGTTCCAGAGGTGTGTTAATTTTTTTTAGCACATTTATGCATATAGTGAAGTTAAATTATTCTCCATCAAAGGTACTTGAATTTGGAACTGTTGACCAGTTTGGTAACAGCCAAAATATCCAACCCGGGCAATGTATTATTAAGATTAAATTAGAATGCATCTATGATGGGATCGCGCCTGAATTTAATATTCCAACATTTTTACCCAATCCAATCACTATTGATCTTTTTAGAGTTCAGAAAGATATTTTAAAGTCCGAAAAATTTGTGTGAACTTGTGTCATTCGATTATGATGCCCTTAATTATTTTAAAATTGTACTACTATATAACATGATCAGTATTAGGGATGTGTTTGGTCAGCTACAGTCAGCTATCATCGACTATCGACTAGTAGCCGGCTATAGCCGATAAATTATTGATCAGTTTCTTAATCAATTTTTCA